AAATTATCCAACTTCAGACTATGTTAGATAAGATCCAATGGAGAGAGACTTACAGCCCCGTACAGCTAAATAATGTCAGCTATAATCTCCTCTAATATGGAAAAAAATTTCACCTCACTCACACTCATTCACTGGCCCTGAATGTCTGTGTACCTGGGAGTGATCAGTAATGAACCGTGGCAGACTCTAACATGAGAGCCACATCTCTGTTCGGTCATGCTGATGAAATGAGTCAGATAGGTCCATGCGGGGAGGTGCCGGTTCAGAAGGTTTCCTCCTCTGGGAGAGAGCAGAGAGAACAGTGTCTGGCCGAGCAATGTTGGAATTGTTTGCTTTGATGAGTTCTGGGTCTAAACTGCTCCAGAGGGCATTATCAACTAGAGATGTCTATTTCAACTAACTTCTCCTGAAGGCAATTTGGAAGACTTTTCCTTTTGAAAGGAGAGGTTGCTTGAGGACAGACCTTTAGAAAAACAATTCAATTTTAATATGCACTAAACTACAACATATTGATCTGACATGACCATTGCTGGGTCAGCGAATCTCATCAGGTCCGGAGTGACTTATTTTGTTAAATATGCTCTCAGAGCATATTTTTCAATGCTGGAAAGATCATCATGGTCATTTTCAGGCCTGATGCGTGAGAGAAAGTGACCAGTGTTTTGGAGCATTTCATCTCCAGCATTCTTCTCTGAAAAAACAACATTCAAAACCTCATATCTTCCACAATCTGGAATGCCATTTTCAAGTAACAAGCTACTTTTTTCTAAGATGATGCATCTGTTATCAGATGAGTAGCAGAGTCTAGGCGTGATGCCATAACCCATGTGGTCATAGTTAGAATTATTTAATTTGCATGGTAATTGTATTGATTTTCTAAAAGATTGTCTACAGAAAGTACAATAATGTTTACTACTATGCATAAGAAAAGTGGCATTTTCAAAGGTAACTGCTTGAGGAGAGATCAAACCGCAATTCCAGCCAACACTAGTTAAACTGACCCCCCCCCCCCCCCTCTCTCTCTTTTTTGACTGTCTCCTTCCTAATGGGCTCCAGATGTTGAGGTTGATGGGGGTGAGCTGCTTGCTTGTCATCTGTGGAGCTGTCCATCCATGGGGAGGCTCTGTCAGTGGGCTGCAGGGTGCAGAGGGATGTGGGGGTGGGGTGGACGTATGATCAGGGCCGCTGGGGCTCAGGTTAGAGCTATAGACGACATCTGGAAGCACTTGGGGTCAGAGAGCCCAGGCTGTGAAAGGTAAGATGGACGCCCAGGCAGAGGAGACAACTTGAAAGTTGTTTTTTCTTTCTTTTCTTGTGGCTTCCTCAAACAACTCTCCTTGGGACATGAGCAAAGACTTTTCATTACTTATGAAATCAAAAGTGTGAACAAACATATATGAGCATAGCAGCCCACCCGAGAACATTGTAGGATAAACCGAGCGCATGTTTCAGTCATGAATTCATTCTTTGGTGTTTGGTTGATGTTGGCGCGAGGACAGTCCCGAATCCGTCCAGCTTTCTGCATACATCATTAAAAATCCTCCAACCAGAGACTCACTTTATTAAGGAACCTTCAAGGCCCATTGACCTTGATATAAATGGTTCAAAGAGGGTAGTGTCAAAAAAAACAAAACAACAACGTCAAAATAGGAAATGGCTCCCTCTCCAAAGTGAACACCCCGTACATTGCAAATCCTAAGAGGATGGCTGTATTTGGAAATTATTTGACTCATGAACTGGATCATGAAGATTTGCTGTAAATTATTTGGAACGAGCCCAGTTTGTGGGGAGAAGCCACATTAAAGGCACCACAAATGGAATCATGACTGGAATTTTAATATAGAGCATCCTCGCTCAAACTCGGACCATTCCGAAACGGTTTTTGTCCATTACTGTTAACTTGGGAGAGGTCAACCAATCGGAAATGTACTCAGCCCTAATCTGGACGTCTTAAGAATCTGCTGCCACATTTATTTGGAAAGCCTAAGGCAGCAATTTATTTATTCACCCAAAAAATAAAATTCTGTCATTAATGACTTACCCTCATGTCATTCCAAAGCCGTAAGACTTTCGTTAATCTTCAGAACACACAGACTGATCTCTTGAAATGGCGTTCGTATTTCCATTTTTGGCGTCCTATCAACACGCATAATCGCTTTTCAGGGTGTTTATCAACGCCGTTGACTTACGTTACATATGAACTACCCCAACCCATCACTAAAGCTACTATACTATACCCGCCACTTGAGGTTAATAACATTTATGAGTCTTCCCCTACCATCCTAGGAAAAATATCGCTCCCTAGATGTAGATCTACATTTTGCTTCGTTTTGCTCGGACATTTAACAGCGTAGACATACACGCAAAAGATGACGGTTTGTTTCAGCGTTGACATACAGGCGGATAGCTCAAAATGCGTATAGATAACATGCACGCCACTTGACTTGAAAGTGGTGTGTATGTTTACGCAAATTCATGATGCCATGGAACACAAATGAAGATCTTTTTGATCAAATCTGAGAGATTTCCGTTCCTTCAATGACAGCTATGCAACACTTTGACGCTTAAAAAAAGTTCATAAAGAGATCATGAAACTAATCCATGTGAATTAAACAGTTTAGTCCAAATTTTCTGGAGAGACACGATCACTTTATATGATGAACAGATTGAAATGTATACATCATCTCACACTTCAGTTGTGGTAAAAGGAAGCTCAAGTATGATTGAGAACCAATGAGGTCCATTCTCGTGTTACGCAGCACGTTTGAGCTTAGAAACACCAAGTTCTCGCGTGTCAAGCAGGTTCCGTTGAGCTTCTGTTTATGTCTGCTGATCAAAGTTTGTATGTGAATAAAAGCCTAAATTGAATCTGTTCTTCAAATAAAGCAATCGGGTCTCTTTTGGACTAAACCGCTCAATTCATATGGATTTGTTTTATGATCTTTTTGAAGTATCAAATTGGTAGTTTAACGGAGGGTCAGAAATCTCTCAGATTTCATTAAGAATATCTTCATCTGACTGAAGCCGTTCTACCGCCTGCAGAGTAATTTGGGGGAGCAGTTCTGCATTCTGTACTCTTTTGTCTGAATAAATAATAACAATAAAATCAATCATTTAAGAGTGAATTTATAGGCGTAACAACATTCTAAAGTACAAAATGAAAAAGAAATAATTCGATTTGCTAAAAGATTACATTACACGGCTTTATCACATTTTTTGTTTGTTTTGTTTATACAATAACTTTCAGACAGTCTTCAGTGTCACATGATCCTCATGCTGATTTGCTGCTCAAGACTTTTTTTCAGCATGCTTTGATGAAAATAAAGTGCCAATGAACAGCATTTATTTGAAATAGAAATATTTTATAATCTTTACTATCGCCTTTGATCAGTTTAAATGCATCCTTGCTGAATAAAAGTATTAATATCCTAAAGTAATAATCACAGAACCCACAGAACTAGATACCGGCAAAGGTAATCAATATATAAAATTAGTAGGGCTGTGAAACGATTAATCGCGAAAAATCGCATCCAAAGAAAAGTTTGTGTTTATGTGTGTGTAGAGTGTATAATTATTTTATATGTATATATAAATGCACACACATGCATGTATATACTTTATACAAAATTAATATTATAAATAAATATAAATATTTGATATATTAATAACACATTTTCTTAAATATATACATGCATATGTGTGTATTTCTATATTCAAAATAATTATACACACTACACACACATATATATTATGTAAACACAAACTTTTATTTTGGATGCGATTAATCGCGATTAATCGTTTCACAGCCCTAAAAAATAGAGTAAATGAGCATGCACAAGAAAATAGCCGATACAATAAATGAAGTGCACAAATTTAGTGCACGGACACCTACGATTTTCAGCAATGCTGGGTGAGAATGTCATTACCGCAAAACATGACGTAAACAAATTGTTGAGCACATTACAGCGATGACAGCTGACAGATTTCTTTCACAGAGCTGAAAGAGACAGATGAAAAGAAAAACAACTCACCAGCTCACCCCCTTCCTCCAATTGACTGTCTCTAAGGTCACTTGAGGTCACATGTAATCAGCAGACCGAGGGAGCCATCAGGTACATAAACAAGCCAGTGTCAGCCATTCAAAAACAGCCCGAGGCCACTTAAACTCAAACGATCGCTTCCTGTGCCATAAACAGACTGTTTTGAAAGTAAACATTCCTGTTCAACAAAAAATGAACAGCGTCGGCCCTGAAGACTGCTTAAAGGAATCAAAGTTCACCACGCAACACCAAAGTCTCCATCATCAGGTAGTGAAACGCATAGGCTGTTTTTCAGAAAGCTTCTGTCAGCTGATTTATCTCTTCCACCTTTAAAACGCTTTCAAATCCAAAGCAAATACACAGGCACTTTAATGGAACGATAGCTGGCAGGGGAAGAACAACAGCGCTAGAAGTGTTTGGATCACATTGTAAATGACCAGTTTGATTAGCTACATTTTGTAGTTTCCTTGCTTTTGTTTACCCTAGAAAAGCACAGATTTGGAAACGGGTGGAGAGGAAAAGAGCCGCAGGAATTTCTGCAACGCTTTCTACTGTTTCTCACGAAACCCCCAGGAGTCCTGACGGAGAGTTATTTTACAGTTTAAAGGTAGATGTTCACACTGAGAGAAGGAAAGAGTAACAACCATCCATAGGAGACCACAAACACACTAACTCTTTAACTTCTCACTACTCATGGGTTTCTCAAGGATTTCACCTGCTTTTCAATGAGTACGTTTCATCTAATTTTATTCTAAAACACCTCTTCACTTACATCATGAAATAGGAATTGATGTCTGATACGTGGAACTGCTGCCAGCAACAGAACAAACCAGAGAATAAGAAAAGTCTGCAGTGAATCTTGAACATAGTTGTGGTAAAAAACATGGTCAAATTGTTGAAGTGTTCTCTGGCAGGCCTTAAAGACATTTGAGGACACTCTAACCCCGAAGCACAATGCAATTAAACTGCTTGGACATCTTTATTGCAAAAGGAATATTACATGTTTAGATATGTTTAGACAATATAAATGGGTAAAATCAACAAGGCTCCAAATTCATTACTTACATATATGGCAAGAGTTCTGAATATGCCGAAATGAACAAATAACCCGGGAATGTTTTAAACTGAAAACAGTGAAGAGTGATTTTAGAGTACGTTAATAAGGTAGCCAAATTTCAGCCAGTTCCAAATAATCAAAATATCCAAATCCCAATTTGTGGCCTCAGTGCATAGTTATGAGTTCCAAGGAGAAATCGAGGGGAAATCCTAAAAAACTTCACAGATGTCCACAAGATTGTAGTATAGGGATTCCGCAGAGGTCATCAAATCCCTGTGGTCTTGAGAAAGAAATCTATAGTAAGCCACGGTCTTCACACGGGATGACCACACTCACGCTGCCACAGTGAGTGCGAACAGAGAAAAGTTTCCATTTTGTGCTTTCCAAAACTGAATTTTCCCACATGTCATTTTCCCACATGCCCAGTACATGACAGTGATTGGTTCAGGAAATCTCGTACCTTGGAGAAGTTCTCGTTTCCTTGTAGAATTTGACGGATAAGAGTAAAGCACATATAGGAGGACAGAAAACAACATGTATGTCGGTTTTGTGGGGACATTGGGATCGCTCAGAGTCTCTGACAGCCCTGCTGTCCGCTTCAGTTGACGGTGGGTACCTGGTTCAGGCTGTATTCTTTGGCCTTCAGTCTCAGGTTGGCGATACTGTTGGCCATATTCATGCCCTGGGCTGTGTTGTTGTTAGCGCATGATGGAGAATAAGTTGCCATTGCGCTGTAAGGGAGAATTCAGGTTGTCAGGATGAGTGTTCACACTTTTCATTAATAATGGATCATTCAAACGATTCTCTATTCATTTTATTGACTTGGATAAAAATGTTTTTTGATGAAACACTTTATATGGATAGCATTTGTGTCACCACATTTCGAGACAATAATTGTATATTAATAATAATCAATACTTTTAATAGTTTTCACTCCCTTAGTTTGAAAAGGAAGTTTACAGTAATAAAAAATACAGAAATGTAAGGTGGTACTTCTGTTAAAGAATTATATGAAATCTTTCATAAAAATGCTTCTTACTCAAGCTGTAGAGTTGTCTAAATGACCATTTAAATGGCTTTTCTTATTGATGGGTACGTATAATTTCTGTAGGTTGAATTAGACGGTGTTAAACAGTGTTTTGAATAGTTACGCGGAAGTAAATCTATGCTTTTATCCAAAGCTACTGACATTGCAATTATTGCGTAACACTTAACAAAGAGGTCCCGTTAATTAAAGGAGTAATTCACTTTAAAAAAAACTTTTGCTGATAATTTACTCACCCCCATGTCATCCAAGATGTCCATGTCATTCTTTCTTCATTTGAAAAAGAATTTAAGAAATCATTTTTTGATGAAAGCATTCCAGGATTTTTTTTCCATGTAACGGATTTCAATGGGAACCAAACGGTTCAAGGTCCAAATGAGAGTTTTAGTGCAGCTTCAGAGGGCTTTAAATGACACCAGACGATGAATAACGGTCTTATTTAGCGAAACGATTGTTCATTTAAAAATAAATAAAAAGTTTAAGTTTTATAAGCACAAATGCTCGCCTTGCTCTGTTCTGTGATCAGCATTCGTGACTCTCCTGTTCAAACTCGTTCATCAAAATGAACAAATCTTTTTCCGAGTCATGACTCGAAGGGTCCTAGATAGGAGCCTTATTCATCGTCTGGTGTCGTTTAAAGCCCTTTGAAGCTACACTGAAACTCTCATTTGGACCATGAACCGTTTGGTTCCCAATGAAGTCCATTATATGGAGAAAATCCTGGAATGTTTTCATCAAAAACCTTAATTTCTTGGATGATATTGGGGTGAGTGAATTATCAGCAAAAGTTTTTTTAAAAAAAAGTGAACTAATCCTTTAATGCATTAACCAACATGAAGCGGTACATTTGTTACAGTGTTTATTATTCTTTGTCAACGTTAGTTAATAAATACAACTGCTCGCTGTTAGTTCATTTGAGCGCATGCACATTAAATATTATTGAAATGTGTTTTTCATTGTTAGTTCATGTTAACAAATGTAGTTAACAAATGGAATCTTACTGTAAAGTGCTACCAATTATTGTATACATTTGCATCGTACACATTCCTTGACCTTGAGTCAAATGTAACTGCACATGGTCACACAGGTCTCATTCTAATAAATCGCATAGTTATACATTTGAAATGGTGGGCTAGTTGAATATTTTAAACATTTATTCTCAAGTAAACTTCATTCACATTTTTAGTTAAATGAGGGACAACATTATGCAGATGCTGTCTAATTTCATAACCCAGAATATTGGTATAGCTTATACGCAACCAAAATAAAAAAAATGAGGTGGACTTCTAACCTGTACGAGGGTGAGCTGCCCCAGGACAGGTAGTCATTGGGTCTGGGAGCGGGTCGTGGGACAATGGGCTGCTCTACGGCTGTTACTTCTCCTGAGAAAGACTTAAGCAATGAGGCATTTTTACTTGCCAACAATGCACGTTCGTTTCGCCGAAACTTTGCCCGCCGATTTTGAAACCACACCTGGAAAATCAAGAAAGGTGCTCAGTTAGATATATGCATAATGTAACGAGCAGCCTCATCATCATAATGGAGCATTGTGTTTAGTTTGAGAAGGTTAAATACAAGGATGTGCTACTGCTGCATCCCCATGATGTGACAACAGTGACTACATTCTGTAGACCATGGCTAACCTGCACTCGTGCTTCAGTGAGGTTGACTCGGCGTGCTAAATCCTCCCGAACAAAAGCGTCGGGGTAGTGAGTCCTCTCAAACACTCTCTCTAAGGCCTGCAGTTGGCTGCTGTTGAACGTGGTCCTATTCCGCCTCTGTTTACGCTTTTTCTTCTCCTCTGAGTTGAGTTGCTCATCTGCACACACACACAGACACAGATTTAAGGATGAGATGAATATCCCCATTATAGCTGGTCTGTACTCCATAAACAGCCTAACAACCTGGAAAAAGGATATTAAATTCTTAGGATTCAAACCAGCGAATGGAAATTCAGCCAAAAGTCACAAACAAAACTGTAAGTTTGTAACTGTTTAATGGACAGTCTGAGAATTAATACAAACTTATGATGATCCTTCCTAAAACCGTATCCCAATCAAAGCTTAAAGAGTGTGTAAGCAAGAACACTGATCCCTTTATTTATTCAAAATCAGCAATTTTTCTCCGGTTTTATAAATTGTCAACTGACATTTATTTTACACTGTAAAAAAATGCTGGGTTGGTTTAACCTAAATATGGATGTGTTTAAAAAATGTAATTTAAAAATTTAACCCAAAGGCTGGGTTTGTCCATATTTGACCCAAATTTGGGTTAAAGCATTTTTAGAGTGTAGGTTAATAAACCCATTTACCTCATATGTTCTTTTGGGGGTCAATATGACCCCAGATCCTAATCATATTTATGAAAAACTTTTTTTGCACAATTATTAATTTTTTCTTGACTTTTCCTTATGATTACATATAATATTTTCAGAAATGTGATTTTGACAATGTTTGTGATGTTTGCTTTTTTTATAAAAAGTGTGATTTTTTTTTTTTTTTTTTTTTTTTTTTTTTTAGAGGATAACTTTAGGGGTTTTATTAATGGAAGAAAATGTTATTCAATAAATTAATTGATATGTTGTAATGTTTTTATGTCATCCAGTCTAGCATAATCTTATATAAATTATATTACACATACAAAAATGGAACATAAACAAATATCAGGTTTTATAGAATGACATAACATAAGCCAAAATATTAAATCAAACTATGTATCAGTTTCCCATTGTTTTGATGAATTATCTTCCTCCTTTTCTTTCTAAAATTATTCTGTTTTTTTTCTATAGTAAAATGTCAATTTGTATAATGTCTAAGGCTTTTTTTGGTCCGGGGAGAAACAGTTTCAGACTCCTCTTAGTTTGGATATAGGCTACATCAATCAGTTCTTAAATCGCTCCATAAAACTTCACAGAGAGGGAGAAAATACCCCAGTGACGAATTGATTCGCCCCAATTCCTGCAAGGCCGTAAAGTCAGAAGAAAGTTGAAAGGAGAGGTTATCAGTAGGCTAGGCCCAGAGCATGAACATGCTCTACATGTGACAGCTGGTGTGCTTGGTAACAACGAAAATCATATCGACTTTATCGTGTATATTTAATTACATTGTCTTGTCCTAAATGCCCTCGAGTCTTAAATCGTGTGGTAGTATATATCCTCGGCCTTTTATTTCTCCGACATACGAAATAGCATACACTCCCCAACTATTAGCCTAATTTTATTTAGCCTACGTTTATTTATTAAAATGATAAGTGTTTCGAATTTTTATTTCGTTTTAATTTTCTTGGCTTGAAGCTCACTGTAATTTTCGCACTTTAGGCCTAATAATTTTCGTAATGTTTCAAGTTTAAATTTACGGATATGAAGCCTAAAAAATGTACAAGATTTCTGTTAATAAATCACAATGTATCAAATTAAACGAACAGTTTTGGTAAACATAATATAGTTACCCAAGTAGCCTTTGGAAAACGTAAACGGTCTTATTGACTTTCATTCTATAGCCTAATTAATTCATTGAAACTTAGCCTATTTAAATCTAAATCATATAGCTCTATAAGGTTTACAATATCTAATAGGCCTATATTTCCTATTCTGAATTTGCAGATCCGAGATCACTTGCTGTTGGCTTCATTTAGGGGAAAATATTAAATAAATAGAAATAGCCGTCTGGTAAACGGTGACAGCCTGCAGAATTAGGCTACACTATAGGCATTTGAAAAGTTAGCAAATTGATCACTTTGCTTTTTAAAGTTTAAAAAGTTGTTTTGATATTGTTTTATTTTAACAAACCTTAATGAAATCTATCGAAGAAAACCTGGCTGTAGATTTTTTTGTTTGTTTGTTTTTTTTAATTTACGTATAGGCCTATTGTTTAAAGCAACAGCACTCTACAATTAGGCTAATTGCATGTATTAATTGCTAACTTAACGCATGTAGTAAATGAAGCACGCATTCAGAGTTGGGAGTGGGACTCGTGTCCTCTTGTAATGCTGGTAGTGACCCGCATCTTTCGGTAGGCTATAGGCTACTCATTGTCACTCATCTGCTAACAGGACCGTTTTCGGCACGCTAAGGTTCTAAACACATCTAGACTATTAGTTCGTAGTGTGAATGTTATAGGCTCCAAAGAATATTAGCGTGTGAAAATTCATAATTTAGACTACTCTTGTTAAATAATTGGGAGACCCTACAGAATGTCAATGAAGCTATTTTCCTTTCCTTTTTTAAGTTGAAATCTTGATTGCTATTCATGATTCTTATTAAATTAGGATCGAATCCGTCCTGATACTTGAATGTTATAATGTTTAAATATTGAAAGAATCTTTGGGATCTTGCTCTGCTCATGCACTTACTCTCCTGCTGTGTCGTGTCGCTGCCGCTGGTCAGTCCCGGAGACTCCAGCATACTCCTGCCCGCCTCCCCTGTGCTCTCCTCCGCTTGAGCTCCCACCATCTCCCGCGCCTCCTCCAGATCCAACAGGTGGCTCACGGAAAAGTTCTTCTTAGCCTGTAAATGATCCTGATTGGCGGTGATCGGACTCTCCAATCGGTTAGGAAACGTGGCTTGTCTGTCCATTACATGAGCATAGCTGGAAGTCATGACGCAAACTGACGAAACCCAAGATATCCTCTACCTTTAACCAACATGGGTTAAGTCTTGATCCGACACAATCACTTTATATTCGACAAACAGATCGATTTTGATTTCCACATCCGTAGGTCAATGTCATATGGATCCAAACAAGCGTAACTATCGCTCTTTTGCTAGACAATCATGCGTCTTTGTGGAAAAAGGCATCACCAAAAGACATCTCCAAATCTAGAACTCCAAAGTCTTCGTCTTTTTCTAACCGACGATTCCCTCTTAGTTTCTGCTGCTTCAACAGAGACTTTCTCCTCTCATTACGAGAGTGAGGGAAGGAATAATCTGGCGAGAAATGTTTGATGGCACAGATGAACGATTTACGCCCAATAGTAGGAGGTCGGACGAGCCTCTCTCAGCTTCTTTCTCCGGTACTTCAAACGGCGCAGACTGGCGCTGAGGGGGGAGCCTGCAAGCCAAATACACGAGCATTTGAAGCCATGAGGAGGGATGATAGACATTCAAGAAGTCCTAATTACGTGGCAATGATTTTTTTTTTTGTCGCCGTTACTAACGTTTCAAAAAGCAATATCTATTTTCTCAACCCCTAACATCCACACTGAAAAATTTAATAATTATTCGGTCAATTAGTCTGTGATTATTATTATTATTATTATTATTATTTTTTGTGTGTGTGTGTGTGTGTGTGTGTGGGGGGGGGGGGGGGGGGGGTTATCTTCGAGGTATTCAGAAATACATCAGAAATGCGATTTACAAAAATATCCATGCAAATGCTGACCATGGTAGGCTATATAGGCATTTCAAATATAGTCAAAGAATAGGCTACAATGTCTAATTAAATTTAGACAGGCCATAGTTTGTAATCTTTTATTGATATAATTTCTTAAAAAAAAATAAAAAGAAGAAGAAGAAGAAACAGGTTTTTGTTGTCATATAGACATATAGGCTAGACTAGGCTGTGAATCCAAATTGATAGCGTCAATTAGTTTTCCCCAAGATGCCATGTCATGCGTTATTTTCCCATAAACATCAATACAATTTTGACCTTTTTATAAAAGGGCACATTTTGTCAAAAAAATACCTTGAAATTGTTTTATTTATTTTTCCTTGTCGTCATTTTTGGTCCAACATGTGTCCTTTTATCATCTCGAAAATCATTATGTTTGCCCTTTGTTCAATTTCACGTGCTGAACAGATTTAGGCCTGTAGTGTCCATCACAATCACTTTTTTGCATGCATAAAATAGTCTGTAACCCCAAATCTGTTGTGGTTAACTGTGATGTTAAGCTAGCCTATATTAACACGAACACTTAAAGCGATCAAAGTTAAACACAGGCAAAGCTCTCATAGGTATCGTGCGTTCGTTCACGATGTGACACTATGTTGATTTTGAATCGGTTTGCAGAGGACCTCGAAGCGTTGCGTGCGCTTTTAAAGAGTCTCTCGACAGGAGGGGATCGAGCTCTGCATGTGTCGCAATGACATGAGTTCAGGCTCCATGCTGCCTCCGTCAGCCTCCAAGCCTATAAGGTCTGGGAAAAGAACACTTGATGCCATCAAAGGGGCGCAGATTGAATCCAGATGTGCAGTGCCTCTCTCGTTCTTTCCGTGCATTTAATTAAGGAGTTTGGATTGAGGAGATCTTTCTTCATCATTAGTTTTCCCCAAGATCCCATTTCTCCCTCGAAGCCCAAGCTCGCTGCCCTATAGCTGTGCCAGCGCAAGGCTTTGCTTTTATTGTTATTATTTTACTCTGCCCATAAATCTGCCACATATCGAAACCTTGAGTCTTTTTGAAAAATGAAATTTGAGGAATACAGGGTAACAAAACCAGGCCCATACAGTTTACCAGCGACAAAAGCTTTAATCAGCCTCCATTGCATGTTTTTATTCACGAGCAGGGCTTAGGAATCTGAATATGGATAAAGAAATACATTTATGCACTAACACAAAATTACAGTAATAAAAAGTCAACGCTTGACCTCTATATTTTCCCGAAAAGTATAGGCAATAAAAAGTAAAAATGTAAAGCGAAATGAATAAAGTAGAAATAATAATCTACCCTGAAACGATAAAACAAAAATGTTTGCATAGAAAAAAATACAATAACGCACAATTAGCCTATTGAAATATGACAGCGGTCATTTGGTTGGGCTATTAAAATGTGGTTGGGATTTATTTGGAGGACAAAGCTGCATTTTTATCGAAAGAAATAGAGGTCATGATGGTCACACTGACAATAGCCTAATATTTGACAATAAAACAACACGATCATAAAAATGGAAAACAACACAAAACATTTTCATCTTGTCATTTGGCTATAAGTTCGAGTCGTCGGTTGTCATTCATTATTGCTTCTAACCAATGCAATAGGCTACAGATGGAAAGTTGAATTAAGCGGCTATAGGTCTAGAAACAACCACCGAATCTTAACATTAATATAATAATGATATTTTTAATAATACGGTATCATTTTTAAACATATCAATATACATAATTTAGGTGAAACATTTGTTTGGACAATGTAGCCTATAGTTTCATTTGTTTATGAGCATAATATAGCCTACAGCAAGTCATAAATAACCGAAATGGTTAATTTTTTCAGAAATTTAGGAATAAAAATGAATTTATTCAATCTATTTATGACATTTGCTCTAATACATAAATGAATGAATGAATGAATGAAGTTAGAATAACTCAATTTGGACTGATATATTTTTTATCAAATTTATCTGATCAGTCATAATGCATAGCCTACCTATAATAAGGTGAATCAAAACAGTATGTAATAGCTCTAATAGGCTAATAAAATTCCTTTTATTTAGCTAAAACAATAGGCCTATTTTTATTTTCCCCTATGGGCAACGGAGGACAATGTTTTATGAAAGCAACTTTCTTTTGTAGCAGATGCATGGATAATTTGTAAGTTAACAAGGATCATATTACATGTCGATTATAGGGATCAATTGGCGTTCGTTATAAGCTAATTATTAAGATCAGACGCGAGGATCCTCTAAAAAGGCCTCTTGCCGAACCTTTAATACACCATTGACCTGTGTGCATCACAAACATTGGACATGTTTGTTTCAGCTTCGGGACATTTTCTCATAACATTACGACGTTATTATGTTTGTCTAACGAGAACAGCAAGGAAAGAATCAACGGCATGAGAACAGTGCATACCCATAGTCGGAATGTGACCCACATTGAAGAAAACACAAAACAAACTTTAGTTTAAAAAGTCCATAAGTGACTATAAAAATCAGATAATTTGGAGTTAAAATGTTTATAGCCTCCCGTGGACTACGATTTTGTTTTACTTTAAAACAAAGTGCAAAACATTTTGTGAACCGCAATTCAAATTCATAAATGTCTTGCATTTTAAATGGTGCAGCTGTCCCGACTTAAAAAAAAAAAAAAATTGCCTAAGAGACATGTCTCTTTTTTTTTTTTTTTTTTTTTTTTTTTTTAGAAAAAAAAAATTCCTTTTAGCTAAATAAAAGGATTTTTTTTTTTTTTTTGGTGTCTAACTTTCCCTTATGCCGCGCGGAAAAAAAAAAACCCAAAACATGTCCAGTAGTTATTAATGATTTATTGTAATCCAATTATTTAACCCATTTCGTTTACATACTGTGTCAAAAGCTACAATCTATAACTAATGCGTGGCCAGCGGCGTTAGTGCTCTGTATTTATCACACAGACTTTTTACGTCTCATGTTACACACTTTTCCAAGTTGTCTTGAGAGGAACCACACTAAATTAAAAGCAGATCCAGCTAGAGGAATGCTGCTCTAGACGAACTACTGTTAAAACAGCCACATAGTCTCATTTAGGCCTACATGTCGTTTACAACGATCATTTATGAATTTTGGATTAGCAGTTTTATTTTAATTGAGCACAAAGACAAACAAGTAAAACACCTGCTTTGAAATCTCTGGAAAAACCAAAATGTGATGATATGAATATTAATTATTTAACAATCTTCATGCAGCCCTCAGTTATTTTAATACTGTGGCATTTGCAAACTCCTACATTTGCAATCTTGTTAAATGAAATTAGATGAATTAGAGATTAGAGAAATTAGACAAATGAGAGCCAGCAATAAATAAAAAATAAAAATAAAAATAGCTAAATAAATAAAATAAATAAAATTCTAAAATGTGTTCCTACTGGCAGTAACACTCCAAAAATTATATACTTTACCAAGACAACACCTGACAAATGCAAAACTTATAAACAACAGATCCCTTACAGAGATGAGTCTTACTTGTATTTTTCTCTGACCTCATTGCTGCAATGCAAAGTAAAAGGGCCAACAACATCCCTGACTAACAACGCTGAAACAATTATCATTTTCCTATATCGTCTCGGTTGTCTTAGCTCATAATGTATTGGTCATCTTGGCCTGGAGAGCGGCATTTAAGCACCACCTCTTCATTCCAGAGACCTCATGGGACTTAAAGCTGTTTGGAAATTAGGCTCATTCTTATATTAACCCCTTGACCCTGCAGTCCGACAGGCTGAAGCCGTGAAGATGAAGGCCAGAGAGGCTAATTGATGGCCGTCGCTGAGGGGAGAGAGCATGAAAAGATAAACAAAATTAAGAGCAGTGATGAATATCACCTCTGAAGGAGCGAGAGGCCAGGAGAAGTAGTCATTTATTAATGGGAAGTGTTAGGCCGTTAGCCCAGTTATTGAGTGATGGGCCAATGGCAGGGCCTTTATTGCAGGTCCTCATGGAGAACTGCGATAGGCCGTGATAGGAGTATGGTGTTGGTCTGATTCAGCTTTTCCCAAACACAAATGTAAGATGACTGTGCAGATTGCAACGTTAATCCAATTTTTCCTTATTTGTCTATTAAATTCTGATTTTATCAGCAAAGCCTGGTTCTGAAATCAGATCCCTTAGGTTCCAGGAACACGGACAGAGATGTGAGACAGTTGATGTGGATTTGGAAAAGGGAGCAATTACTATGTAGTATTGGAACATTGAGAAAGTCTGTTGACACAAAGGTCCAACTTCACTGCTCTGCCAATTAATATCTAATAAAATTTCCTAAAAACGCAATGACCATTAGTCACAACATGAGGAATTTCTGCCACAATGATAGAAAACACATGGGCTGCAAAAGATGGAGGGAGCCCATCAATGAAAATATGATAATTGTGTTTCTAAGACTGAATACATTATACTAGTATGTCAAGACAAATTTAGGTCGAATCCATAAAGTCATATTTCTTTCCCGAAACCATGCCATGTCAAATCAGTTTGTCTCGGCACATTGAGAAGAAGCAAATATGGCATATTAGCCAAGAAAGACTGTATTATTTAATTATTAGGTATTGACGGGATTAAAAAAAAGAAAAGAAAACTGACCATATTCTGATTATATTTAGCATCAGCTCTCTAGAAGTGCTGACAAGACA